CCTGGTGCCGATGTGACTTTGTGCATGTGTGAGAATGAGAAGCTGGATGATAAAATCTTCCCAGAGGCCTTTTACATCAGACAAAAAGAAATTAGTCGTAAAGTCTTCCCCTCGCTAGCACGAATTACGGCTTCAAATTAATTCATTAGCTGCGTAAATATATAGAAGAACAGTGAAATGAACAGTTTGTTAGCGCACTCCCTCTGCTAAGGGGTGTACGGATCGATAGTTGGCGCATGTCAGAAGGGATGCTGTATTAGGGGTGTATTGGACGTTTGCCGCTAATGATGTGCGAATCGAGTTATTTGATTCGAGTAACTCCAATGTATATTTGAAGTCGTATCAAATATTATTTACTTTGTTTTTTAACGCTTCTATCATACATATCTCATTGATAATTGTAGTCTCATAGCATAATTATTTAAAGTGTGCCGTATAAATCAATCATTAAAGTAAACAATGCAAATTGTCAATAAAAGACAATTTATTTTATATTCGCTCAGAGTTGAAGCGCAAAAAATCAATGCTCCTCAATTGCACTCGATTTCTTTAAGTAATTAGTAATACTTGTACATATAATCTGAATAACGGCTCACATTTAGTTAGTCACGCAGGGTTTCGGGGGCGATAAATCGATCTAGCTAGGTTTAATTTTTTAGAAAACGCCGTTGTAACCATGTTTTCAAGCAATGAAAACTGCAACAATTTAATTAGATCTCGAAGGTAAATTTCGCCATCATTCAGTGCTGAATTAAAAAAAATATTTATTTCTAAAGTTTTTATTTCTTTACATTTCTTTTGTTTTTTCGGCATGTTGCATCGTTTATTTTAATGATTGATTCACGGCACAGGTTAAATATGTTGTAAGACTACAACTTTCAAAAGAAACATGTGCAGTAGCGTTGAAAAACAAAGTTAATATTCGAGATTGGAGCACGATATTGTTCGTGAGCTAATCCCCGGGCCGGGTCAGGGGGAGCTATTGATCGCACATGCGCTACGCATCACGCACACTTGGGCCCTAAATGGTTCGGGGATGGGCCGACAGATGGCTCTGTGAGTAAAGTCTGACTTTTTTCAACAGTCGGCCAAATGAAACAATTATATAGGGAATAACTTTTTATTTTCTCACACGTTCTACATGTTCTACATTGAAGCTGTAACGACGTTAATTCCATGGTCGACCAACTTATGTTCAAACTCAAAATTTCCATGACGGCACCAAAAAAAAAATGTTCAATGCCATGTTTAGAGCTTATTTGATACGCGCTTGATTCCAAATAAAATATTATATATTTAAAAAGTCAGAAATCTGATAATCCCAAGCGGGCTCCCGTGGTGGACTATGCCCTATTTCCGCCTCAGGCCGTAGCTATGTAGCTATGCTATGCTGGGAAAATGTAGCGTATGCGCTATATTTTCCCAGCAATGGGACGTTTCTAGACTGTTACCTTACTACAGATGTTGTTATTTGAACTCTCGGAAAATACCGACTTCAACCCTAACCCTCCTCTCAAAGTCAAAACTTCTTTATCCATACTGAATATTATAAATGCGAAAGTAACTCTGTCTGTCTGTCTCGCTTTCACGCTACAACTAATTTAAATGAAATTTGGTACACAGATAGTCTAGAGCCTGAGAAAGGAAATAGGCTATTTTTTAATTGGAAAAAAGTGTTGTAAAGGGTTAAAAGGTTATAGAAAGATAATTATTTAAGGGTCTCACCGCGAGCGAAAAGCTACTTTATTATATGTTTATTTTAAGCTCTAATTTCGTCAATTCACTGAACTAGAACTGAACGGAGAATAAGTGGCAAGAAACTCTCTCGAACTACTTAGATTCTTCGCTGCGAATCATAAGATTATCATAAGAGTAAATACGAACCATCCAACGGCAAAGAACCGTTCGGAAATTGAAAAACATATCTCGTAGACGCGCCCTCCCAATAAGGGTGGGAGGTGAGCTGCGGGTTGATAGCTAGCCAGTTCGGAGGGATGCTGGGGGGTTAGGGGTGGAGTGCGGGCTCGTCGATACCCCCCTAGGCATTGCGCCGCCGCGCCGATATCCGTCAGCGTTTCGAATTCGAATTTTCACAAATTCCAAATGGTATTTGTATTTGTATAACATCGGCGGTAGGGCCACGCAGCAGCCTCGGCTGTTGCACGAATGGGCAGGCTCGTCCGGGTAAGTACCACGACCTCACAGAAGACCGGCGTAAAGTGGAAGTATATTACTTTCGCGTTTCGTCTGGTGAGTGAGGTGGCCGGAGCCCAATTTTCAAGAGGTTGTCCACGCATCAGGAACCCTCGGGTGTAACAGATGTCCATGGGCGGCGGTATTCACTTAACTCCAGCTGAACCGTCTGCTCGTTTGGCAACTTTTCACATAAAAAAAAGAAACTGATGTTACTCTTCCAGTTCTTAGACTATTAAAGCTTCATCGAACGCAGAACCGGTGGGCTAGTCAGAACCCGCGGGCTTGAGGCACTCTTCAGCGGGTAGAGCCGGGCATGTACTCGTGCACCAAATGGTGGCATCGCGATTGACTACGAGCTGAGATATGGAGAAATACAAAGACGTACACGCCGCCGCACGGGACGGTCTTATCTTGAATCGACGATCGATTTCTTTGCAGCGTCGGAGTTTTATAACGGTTTAATTGAGCCAACTGAACTGGGCAATTGCTAGCAATGTTATATGTTAGATACGACTTTTTTGTTTCCGTGCAAGAAGAGTTAGTGAAGTTGAATTGCTTAACTGCGCAATTGCGCCCGGCGTTTAGCGACTTATCTTGTCGGACTAAAAGTGCGATGTAACTTACAAATATTTTAAACAGATCTATGGCCGTAGAGTCGCTGCGATTTCAGCGACTCTACGTACAACCGATTGTACTCTCTGTTAATATCGGTTTTACATTATTAATTCGCTTATTAAACATTTGTAAGATAGTTTCACTAGCCTGTTGGGGCGACGCTATTCATGGGTGTGCTGTATGGGTTAGGATATAGATATTAAGATAGGGATGAGAATTGTATAACATCATGAATCAATTTAATTATGCAGAGACAGAAAAGTTTGTTTGATTGAAACAATGTTTGATACAATAACGACAAATATTAAATGTGGCCTTTATCTCAGAACATACTCGTATTAATACGTGAAGTAAAAACTTTGTAACACTTTTTACGAACATTGCGCGGACGGAGGATTATGGAATTTCCCACACTTACAGTTTATATACAGTGCAGAATGCTTTAATTTTTAAATTATGCATAAAATCATTGCATTTATAATTAATTATGGTCCCTCGACCACTGCGCGACCACTTGTATAAGGAAACATACATAATTAGAACATTACTGAAGTCAAAGCCAACTTTTGATTAAAGTCTTCTAAATAATAAAATCTATAAACATAGTATCCCTGTGAGCATAATTTTTGATACTTTGCACTTTAGCTCTTTGTGTATTGCGTTCGAACACTTATAAAAGCCAAGCTTTGTGTCCGACCAATCAATAATCGAAACCCCTAGAAACTTTGCTAATTAGCGCATGCCCAGCGGAGTTGGGAGGGCCTGCAGTGGACGCCACCCTTGGGGTGGATACTAGGAGCAAAATTTATTATTAGTGCTTCATAATATAGCGCCATCTTTTGGGCTTAAACTAAATGTGTTTCTTAGGCTAAAACTACACTAATTAATGTTTTTACCCATCACTTCTTTATATTTTGCATAAGTAATACTATGGTCTGTGTTAAACATTACATGGTGGGATTTATAACTATTTAATAATATAAAGAGCAAATGTGTTCACATGTTGTTATCGTTACGGTAGCGGTTTCTCGTTTATTAGTTTCCTTGTGTCTAAACAGTTATATTTAATCATCATCCTGACAGAAAAGTAGAATTACGTAAATTTCGTGTTCGTTAAAATCTAGATTGTGATGTTAGTTAATTTCACGTATTTACATTTTCATAGCATTATTACTCATTGTCATATTGCACAAATTATGTGTTTACAATCAGAAGGCACTTTGGTCTTATTCCATAATATATACCCCGCGTGTATATCCTGTTAATACATCGATCGCGAATTGTCTAGACGTCCCTTATTAACGTACCCCACGCGGGGTGGGGTGGATATTCGGGGTGGTTATGTACAAAGGTACAGGGGACGGCACCCCCGCCAGATTGGGTTTAATAATAATACCTAGGGAGATATCTGCCCTAGGGATTTTATTAAGCCCCCGTAGAGTACTTTGATTTTGGTAGGCGTACATTTTGGTAAAGCTTTGCAGAGTTATAAGTATTATTAAAAACTAGCCGATGCCCGCGACTACGTCTGCGTCATAGGCTGAGGACGTAACATTGTACGGGGGTGAAAAATCGATCTATCTATGTTCCATTTTTAGAAAATGTCCTTTTATCCCTGTTTTCAGGGAATGAAAAATATCATTCGAATGTGACGGTAAATTTCGCCGAAAATAAATGTTATAATAGCTTGGTCGGTAATCGGGCGGCCTGGAAACAGAAGGCTGCGGTTCGCGTCACGATTTTTTACACACTTATTTTTTTGAGACTTATTAGATCAATGCTATCTTTATTTTTTTAATTTTCAAAATACACGATTTACCAAAAAAAAAACCTAGCAAAGCTCGGTCCTCCAGGTACTAATTTTATAAGTAAGGATAAAACTTTCGACAGAGAAAAATAGCTTCCATCTGTTCCTAAGGAGTACTACCACAAAATTAACAGAGATTCATTTTAATTGTAATTTTTTCATAATCATGTCATGAGATGACTATATTGTTATTGTCTTTTTTAGCATTTTGTATTTAATCAATTGCTGGCTGAAAGCATCAATCTTTATTTCTTGTAATCTACTCGGGACTAATTTCTACTACTCTCATTAATAAAGCTAAATTAAGAATTCAAACAGATGTTTAAACACTGATCGCAACTGGACGACAATGTATTGTTATTTCTTTTAGCCAGGGCTACATATGGAGCCCTATCACACTTACCGTTCCATTAATATAAAGGTATGTTGCTTTACATGACCACATCGCATAACATAACCCTCCATATCGTTAAAAGTAATCGCAAACGTTCTGGAAACTTCCCAGCGCGTCCCCTACGGGGGCGCTGCGGTGTTCGGGTTGAATGGATCGATACACGGCGCATGTGCACTAGAAGTGTACTGTCTGTGAGTACTGGATAAGTCGTTGTTCGTTCTCTACTCGAGTGCCATGCTACTTGGCTCCCGTACGCGGCGCGTTTTGTGCTTCAGTCTCGTTGCACTGTACCTGTTCTATCGAATTTTCGTCGTTTCGTCCAACGGCCACGTGAGCAGGCGACGCAATGAACTGGCCAAAGCGAGGGGCCGGAGTAGCGCCGCAACCGGTGAGGGTTCCATGCGATCGTTTATCCGTTTCGCTTCACTACATAGTATAAACAAAGTCGTCCCGCTGTCTGTCTGTCCTTATGTATGATTAGATCTTTAAAAGTTTAGGTATTTTAAAGATCTAAGTATACATAAGTACCTAACAAGGAACCTGATGCGGTCTTTTCACTAGAGTGAATCAAGAGAAAGGTTTATATGTATAATACATTGCACCCGTGCGAAGCCGGGGCGGGTCGCTAGTTTCACTATAAAAGTGAACGCTATATTTAATGATCGCATGCATTGTCGACGTCGGTACCGACTTCGAAACAAGCACTCAAAGATTACCCGGACGCGGCCTCTTTGCTGACTCTACATGATTACGCCAAGCGAGTGGGTCCGTCGACGACCATTTCGATTAAAATCTGGCTTTGCTTATCGCGATCTAGAAAAATTTAATGTAGAAAACGTCCGAAAAACTTTGATGGCCGTAACATGTAACAGCATAAAAAGGTAACGACATCATTGTAGAATATTTCGACTGCCTTATTAGGTAGCTAAACGATGGTGTAACTCAAATCCAATCAATACATTCGTCGGCGCATGTCCGCACGGGGGTTGGGGGTGAGGGTGTGGGTAGAGGGCGCTAGTCGCGTGGGTGTAACCCCGCCCTCCCATCTCACTTAATATTGTTATCGTTCTCGTTATTGCTATACCAATTATTGAATTTTCATTAGATTCCTATTAATGATAATCATTAAATTTATACCTGAGGAAAGTAAATATTTAATGACGATTGTTTTAATAGGATTCCGAGTAGCAAAAGAAAATACAATTCATCACACATCCCTGAAAACATCTGTCTATAAATCATCACATTTAATGTTGCATCTCTCGAGGCGCATAAAGTAAAATTAATCATGAACCTTTTTATTCGTTGCGCATGAACAAAGTAAATTATATATAAAACGTTATATCATCGTAGCTATGCGGGCGGGACAAGTACTCGGGGTAGGTCTCGCAGCTTGCCGCAGCGTCGGTGCGGAGCTATCGATCGGATCTCGGCGCATGTGTAGCGGACCTTAGGGGTCATGGGGTGGGGGTTCATCCAACGCCAGGGGAGGTTGTGACGCGATCGCACGGCGTCATTCCGCGTCGGGGCGCGTCCGCGAGTAGTTTCCGCGCGTTTCTCCTCGTCTACCCGACCGGGGTTGCCAACCGCTGGTCGATGCCAGCGGTTGGCAATCCCGGTGTTTGCGCGGATCGCGACTGGCAAGCGGCGAGGGAGATCACGGCAACGTCCAACACGCCGTGAGGCTCGAGGTAAGATGTCCATGATTCATTCCCTTGTTGCGATGTTCTTCCAAATTTTGTCGCACATGAATAGGGCTTAGACTTTTCACGCCGGTTACAAGTAAGGTAGAATCGTGTCCGTTGTAGAAATTCTAGTCAATTTATTTGCGACCCTTCTATACACGCTTCTAGGATATCGATTAGGGAAAGTAAGCAAAGGGCGTGAGGTGGAGACATAATTTTTATTTATTCATTTATTTATATAAGAAAATACAGCTTACAAAAATATATTAAACTGACACAAACATAAACTCAAAAGAGTTATTGTGTATCAGTAATCGTTTATTCATAGTTACTACCATAAATCACCAAAATTACCAATTAACATTAAACGAGTAGCATTAAAACGAAAATAATTTGAATAATTAATTGTTAATAGAATAGTTAGACGAACATCGGTGACCGCTCTGGCTGTCTTTGTACTAGTAGTAGTTGTACTTTGTACTTTGTGTGCAGTGGTCGAAATTCGACCATAATTAATTACACATGTTTTTTTTATTGGTTAAACGTATTTTTATGTATAATTAAAAATAGTAGCATACGTTCTAAGTATATAAATTATAAGTGTGGGAAATTTCATACTCCTACGTCCGCGGAATTTTTGTAAAAGAGTACAAAATTTTTGCTTTAAAAAAAAAAAAAAGATGCGTAAAGTATTTCTGCTAATACAGGTGGACCTTATAGCATGTTTCAATATATTTAATACTAGCTGATCCGGCAAACGTTGTTTTGTGGAATTTCGTAAAATACGTTCTTAGCTGACCTCTACTCGGCGAATATATATATATATATATATTCTAAGTTAAGATCTCGATATTTTCTTTTTTTTTTTTTTATGCGAAAAGTTGTCAAACGAGCAGACGGTTCACCTGATGTTAAGTGAATACCGCCGCCTATGGACATCTGCCTTAGAGGGTTACAGATGCGTTGACAACCTTTTGAAAATTGGGCTCCGGCTACCTCACTCACCAGACGAAACGCGAAAGTATTTGTCATACTTCCACTTTACGCTGGTCTTCTGTGAGGTCGTGGTACTTACCCGGACGGGCCTGCCCATTCGTGCAACAGCCGAGGCTGCTGCGTGGCCCTACCACCCTAAAAATTCTATATTAATATTTTGCGAGAAGAATTTTTTTAGTTTGTATTTTATGTTTTTGTAATTTTTCTCTTAAGGATATAGCTAGTTGATTAATAAGGTAGGGTTTACTTTAACGTACTTTCACCGGGTAGATTTGTATATATTGGAATCCACACTTGCGTTCGTTAATTGCTACTACCTCATCTAGATCATGATTTACTTTTACGAGATAATTGATAGTTTAACTATTGTTAAAACAATTATTAGAGTTAGAGGGTGCGCAACTCATTCTCGAAGTTCACTTTAATATCTGCAATAATATTATAGATTGCTTGTATGTATGAAATTGCTAAGCTTGGCGAGGATCAATTCAATTTAAGAAAAAAAAATCTTGTCAAAGCCGGTTTATCGTTCAAGGTTGTTTAAAATCTCTCGAGAATCGCCTCTTGTTTGGCGAAAGCTATAAGCGAGAAAAACGTCGAGCAAGATGGGGCGCGTAAAACGTGGGATACTGGTTGCTTATTGAAAAATGAAACAGGATTTATTGTTGTATTCGCTTGATCAATACAATGGCGCTCAGTCTAGACGGGCTTATTAACGGACCCCAGCTTGAGGGCGCGAGGGTTCGGGACGCTGCAGTTGGGGGAGGGGTGGCTAGGGGCTGCAAACCGCCACCCCGAGGCTAAGGGAGGCGTTTGGCGCAATGCAGCATCGCAGGAAGGGGACATGAATATTTACAAACCGAAACGGTGTGAGCAGAGAGCGATATAGGCTTTTGAATTTTGGAGTGTTTCATAACACTTGCGACTTAACCGTACGGATATCGATAAGTCTTTTTATCCATTTACGGAATTCCAAGCATACAACACGCGTATAAAGGAATGATTTGTAAATGTCATTGAAAATATTATTACATTTCGTTTCATTTCGAAAAAGAAAAATAACAAGCAAATAACCTTGTGCATGCAATTTATAAATATAGTAATTTATAAACATACTTGGAACGTTAATTCGCATATGACATTTGTGAATAGGTAGTACAAGTGATAAATTTTTGTATTTATTATATTATTTAGTTATTTATGAACACGAAACTTATTGCAGACACGGATTTACATGCCTATCGCTAAAACATAATATGCTAATTAGAGTTACACGATTGCAAGTTACCTAATTTGTAGGATAAAGGAAACTGCGATAAGCGTCCATTATGTCGGTTATTGTCGAATCTTGCCCAATCGCAAGTTGGCGCTGACAGCCTTTAAGGTTCAGTACACACTAAGACGGCGGCAGTTAGTAGTACTCTTGATTATGTCACGTGTTTTGTACGTTTAATATGCTAAACGATAAGTTCAAAGCCTTAAAGCGATGTAATTTAGAGTAAATATAAAATTAAATACGATTTACATTGGCAAAGGCTGCAGTTGCCTCGTTCTGGTGTGTATCCGGCCTAATGGTCCTATTCACTCTCATACGATGGGCTTACCCGGTCGCAACCAGGTCATCCGGCTTGCGAAATCGCGTCTCACGCTTCGACCAATTCCTCTCGTTAAAACCTGCACTGAGACACGCACGCCGCAATGTCGCTATGCCGCGACCTTGATGCGTCAGAAAAACTGCATCTCGTCGAAGGGATTACTTTCGCTTGGCACAGTGCGACCTTAATTGATGATGTCTTCAATCGCTGGCCCGACAGACAACGAGTTGATGTCTGCAGTTGTTTAATCAACCATTATGTTTTAACCGTTTATTAATTATCAGTAGCTGTTTCGAATTCACAACATAACATATACATGTATTACTTATCTTTTAGCAAACTCATTTTTTTCTCTGCTTGCACATCGTCCATCCACATGTTACAATAACATGTACACAATACATGTTACAATCATTTTGAGTATTGTGTAACGCACTCAAAGAAATCCTTTCTTTTCGAATCCGGTGAAAGACAGTCGTTGGATGTGCTTGAGCCAAGAGTAGCATTGTTAAATTTATACTTTGACTTTTGGTGTAGAGAATACCTCTGCTTACTTCTTTCGTGGATTGACTTTTCAATATTTGTTTTTTCTATCAAAATATCAAATCATTATTAAATGAAAGGAAACATTTCATTTCGTTAATGTAAATATTTGTTCCTGAATTATCGAATACTTCTCAGTATTCACGGAGCACAATCTTCAAAAGGTTGTCAACCCATCTGCAACCCTCGCGTGTAGCAGATGTTCACGGGCGGCGGTATTCACTTACCATCAGTTGATCCGTCTGCTCGTTTGGCAACTATTCCCATTAAAAAAAGTATTCACAGTCATGGGACGGTCCGTCTGTCCCGTTGCGATGCAGATGCATAATCTCTGAAAGCATTTATAATCTTACTAGCTGCTGCCAGCGACTACGTCTGCGTAGAATAGGCTAAAGGCGTAACATTCAGACAGAAATATGATATACATAAACTATGTATATAAATTATAGCCTTATGTCATATAATTATGTCTTATTCTGACGTATAAGCAATATTATTGTAAATTTTCATTAAAATCCATTCAGTACTATTTGCGTGAAAGAGTGACAAATATTCATCCATACATACAAACTTTCGCGTATATAATATTAGTAAGGATTAGATTTAAAGTTTTTTATAGAGCTAATCTCTGCACTCAAGACTGAACATTAAAACATGTAGAAAAAGTACGAAAAGATTGTCGCCGCTGTGGGAATCGAACCCACGTCTTCGGCATTCGCGGCCTGACGCTCTAGCCACTGAGATAAACGGCTGATAGCCACAGCGACGAAAATCTTAACGCCTTCTTCCTACATTGTTATTTACCATTTGAAGCAAGGATTAGATTCTTAATAGACACCGTTGCTGTGGGGTTCGTTCGTGGCTAAGCCAATTTGCCATCTGCCAGGTCACCCTATTGTTAGATGAGTCGCCGTACACGTTCCAATCCTTATCTTTCACCTTGAGACTAAGTCGTGTCTGATTCGAATCTTACATGTGTACTCTATTGAAATGTTCGTTACCAATGTATGCTGTCTTGTATTAAGATTTATTCTACTGTTAAAATGTAAAAGTTAATGTTTGTTAGTTTAAAATAGGTACTATTTTCGGCTTCACAAGGAACGTATTTCGTAATTGATAAGAAAAGTTTTTACGGCAATAATTTTACTTCTTGTGCTTCTTTAAATTATTTCGAATCGCGATGATGGTTACATATTTGTTTGTTTGTATATTCTTTATTGTACTAAAAGTTTGTACAAAGGCGAACTCAATGCTAAATAGCATTTTCTTCCAGTTAACCTTTGGTGGTTGAGAGCAAGTTCATATAATAAGTAGTTCATATTTACGAGTATATTATAAATCATTTTAATGCTCTCAATTCTTAATGTCATGTCCGAATTCACGTTTATTGTTATAGTTGTCCTCCTTTCTCTTTTCTTTACATTTTGTCATTCGTCTATATTCGTATTCGATTCGTACCTTTATTATTATTATAATTTCTATTTAATTTGCGTACTAGTATATTTGATTTGCATCACATTAATTCGCAACCAAGAGATAACGATTGTTAATTTTAGTCATTCCGTTTTTAATAACGCTGAAACAAGGTCATCGCGACGTTCGCACTAGTTCCACAATGTCTCCACGTGTGAAATTAGCTCGCTTGTGAAATTTTTATGTTGCAAAACTAGAAAGAGATATTTTTATTCTTTTGTTTATTGTGAATCGTAGTTCGAAGTTCGTGGCTTACTTGTCAATAGACTTCGAAAGGAAGGAAGGGAGAAGATTCACTCAGAGATCTTTTCAAAGAGGTTAATATACTCACTGTTGCTTGTCAATACATTTATTGTAATGTTTTGTATATACGTCATAACCTTAATTATTACCTAAAGAATAGTGACAGACATAAAATAAACACTAGAAATAAGGAAAAACTTACTACGCCATTGTTTCGTCTACAAAAAGTAAATAAGTCGTTCATGGGGCAAAGTGTGCGCATGTATAATAAAATCCCACAGTCGATATTAAGTCTGCCGCTTGACCAATTTAAATGTAAAATTAAAAATCAACTGATGATTAAAGCATATTATACCATTTCGGCATATCTCGACGACGCCAATGTGTGGAGTTAATACTGTTGATACTCACGTAGGCTAGAATAAGACTATTATACCTGTATAATTATATTGTACCCTGATATTTTTGAAAAAGAGCAACTGTTGAGTTTCTTGCCGGTCTCTTCTCAACAGAAACCGCTTTCCGAACCGGTGGTACCTTACGAACGTATACACATGTTATGTGGTCAGTGATAGAATGATTTTAAAAAATAATTTATTTAATATTGTTCACACATAAACTAATTTATAACTTTTAGTACTATAAAATAACACTTGAAATAGAATTAACAATAACACGAAATAGAAATTGATATAGAAATAGTAAATGACACAGAGATATAATAATTACTTGAGGTTGAATTGGTAACTCCACGAGATTGAAATGGTAACTAACTTATGATCTAGTATAAAGTGGTTTATATACGAAAAGCAACATGAGATTTGTAAACAATGTTCTAAACTAAGTGACTTATTGACTAATTGCTTAATTACTAGATAAATAGCAAAGTACACGGGAAATGGTAACAAAGGAAATAGTATTGAAGTGGTAAACAGATCATTAGTTAATTAGGATAACAAAAGATTTGGTAGTGACTTGGTACATTGATATAGTAAATATGCATTTGGAAAATAACAGTAATTTGTGAATGTGAGAATGGTAAATACATTAGAATCAGATAAACAATAAACATTGGTTTATATAGTAACTTAATATAGAGTTATGATTATGTATAGGAAACTATATAAAAGGATTTTATATAAAGTTAGGTATAAGTGGGCATTATATAACACCTCCCCTCTTAGAATAAAGATTGGGCGTTAGCGTCCGATCTTTGGGTAACGTTTGAGGTGTCGTCTTCGTCTTCGGAGATGCACGATGTTGAAGCTGGAGCGGGACCACCCATTGTGGTCATCGGGATGGCGTGGACATGTGTAGCTCGTCGTCGCGATGATGAACCAAGGCAGTTGTTGAAGATTTGAATGCAATGATTTTCTTCGTGACCGTGTCGTTGATGACGTCGGAGACATTTTTTGAATAGTGCGTATAGAATTAGTAGAACCATAGAGGTTCCGGTTATAAGAGAGAACCAGGAAAATCCATTTTGGTTTCGTTCTATGAATGGTTTCTTCTTGAGTTTTTGAATTTCTTCGTTGTGGTTGTTCAATTGGTTTTTGATGCTGTTTAAAGAGTCCAGAGGGACCTCATTGATAGAAATGGGTAATAAGTTTGGTATTGGAATATTTTTATTTTCTTCAAAGCAGTCTTGAATATTCATTTCGGGAATAATGATTGGAGAAGTGACGTTTTCTTTTTTGGTTCTATGTGCTGATAAGGTACTGTATCCAGTATGGAGTTTGCAGTTTTCTTTTAATGTAATTATCCCGGATCCTTGGATTTTGTGATGGGATACTTCGTTGTCACATTGTAGAATGCATGGCGTTGAGTTGGTAAGAATGTAAAGCCATCTGTTTTCGTCTAGCGACTGGAACGTATTAATTTGTGCGGCAAATGTGGAAGTTGTACAAGTACTCGGAATTGTTTTGGAGATGGTAAATAGTATCTGGAGTTCGCATATCGGACGTGTATCGGCGTCGTAAATGATGAGGTCGTTGCAAACGCTCTTTTTCTCGGCGAAGGCTTTGCAATGGTCCAATGAACTCGTCGAAATGTATAACTCACCGCTGGGGTTCGTAGCTAGAAACTTGTGCTCTGGCAGGATTGTTGTATATAGAGAGGAATTAGGATGCTGGATAGGAATTGAATAAATATGATAGAGTTTAAGGGTTCGGATTTTACAAGTGGGAAATCTAATATATAAATTAATCTGTCAGAATATACATAAGCGGATAGTTGGGACGAATCTAATATGTTATTAATGTTATTAATGGTAATAGGGAGGACTAATTGTTTATTTGATCTAGCATGATTAGATAAAAGAAGTTCTTGGTATAACTTATTAAGAGAAATAATAGAAGGGTGTATTATATTAGCTTTGGCAAATAGAATGCTAGTAAGGACATCATTGATTTCATATTCTAGGTTTGTAATAGTCTCAAGAATTTGTATAGAGATAGAAGAAATGTCTTCGCTTGCTTTGACATCGAATATAAGTTTGTTTGATTTATTTAAATAATTATTTAGTCTATCGATATTTTCGTTAATAATTTGCTCATCGAATCTAATTTTATGGATCGTTTCATTGAAAGTTTTTATTGTTGATGAAGTTATTTGTACTTGTTTTTGCATTAAAGATGTAAGATCTAATTCGCGTTTTTCAAATAAATCGATACATTCGTCATAGTGTTTCGCATCTTTTGCATCCGGAGTACCTATGAGATATTTTAATAATGAACCAAGACCGTCTAACAGTTCCCTTTTTCTGTCTAGAGTTCTTACCGAGATACATGTTTAATTCGGATAATCGGTTATCAATTTTTTCTAGATTTATTTTTAAATACGATTTTGTAGAGAAGACATTTGGAAGCGACGCGTGTTTTGAAGTAAGTTGTTGAAAGCTACTTGATAGACGTAGAAGAGATTCTTGTGCCAGAAATAGAGGTTTTAGGTCACGATATATGATAAGTTTCCACGATTCATCGGAAATTGAGATTGTTCCTTCTTCTTTATAGAAAAGACTGGCGTGAGGTGGTAATTTTTCAGCGAATTGATTTATACTGGCAACGATTCCCGTTGTTGCACTGAAATAGGAGAAGGTTCTATGTTAGGACTTTGTATTTTATTTTTAATTCTTAAATAATTTCTAATATATGTGTATAACTTGTATATGATAATGTATAAGATAAGTTTTAAAATTGACATTATTATGAAACTAATATAAGGGTTATTTAAATAAAATATATTGAATAGGATTTCTAAGGAACTAGGGGTATGGGTTGCTGTAGAGCAGCTGACCCTGTAAATGTAATTATTTCTAAATTAACTAAATATTTAATATGGGTGTAAAGGTTGCGTATTAAACTAGTGTTTCATGCATATGGTATGGTCGGAGTCGATTTGCATGCACGAGTTGATTGCGATTTGATTTTTGAATAACGTAATTATGATTAAAACCGACACGTATGACTTCAAAAGGTCCATCCCATTTTGGGTCTAAATTATTTGGATTTGGAACTTGCAGCATTACTTTGCTTCCTACTTTATACTGAATTAAATTCTTTATTTGACTGTCGTATCTCTCCTTAGCTTTTTCTTTCATGGTTTGAATATTTCTTAAAGCAGAGTCTCTAGCAACTCTAAGACGTTCGTTTAGATCTTTAAGATAATCACAAGCTGTATAATCAGGTATGTTTTTCATAGAGTAAAATGGACGTGGTTTGTAACCGAACAATAATTCATGGGGTGTATAATAAGTGGAACTGTTTACTGATGTATTGTGACACATAATTGCAAAAGGAATTATCTTATCCCAATTTTTGAGACGGCGGCTATGATACATGCGAATATGGTCACGTAAAGTAGCATGAAATCTTTCAAGGGCACCATTCGTTTGGGGATGATATGCCGTGTTAAAAGTATGGTTGGAGCCTAGGAATTTGGTTAATTGTTTGAGAACATTATTAGTGAATTCGGTACCTTGATCTGAATGAAATCTCTTAGGTACACCGAAATGTTGGCAAAAGTGAAGTAGTTCTTTAGCTACAGAGGTGGCTTCTTTATCAGGAATTGGATATGCTTGAACAAATCGAGTTAAGTCATCTTGAAGAGTTAGGACATACTTATTATTGTTATCACTTATATCAGAATAGGAGACGAGATCCATTGAAACTCGTTCGAAAGGCTCTGTGGATTGTGATGTTATAACCATAGGTGCTTGGAAGTTTTTCCTTTGAATTTTGTTTCGCTGGCAAGTGACGCATGATTCAATATAATTTTTTATATCGCTGGTCATGCCTTTCCAAAAATATTCATCACGGATTTTTCTAGTTGTTTCTATAATACCACGATGACCTGAGAGGGGTTCATCATGATAAGTTTTTAATATGTTAGGGATTTCTTCGGGCTTAGGATACTTTACGTTATTTTGACAAATTGTGATTTCGCAGTTATACGAATCTGCCAGGTATGCAGTTATTCGTAGTTGTTCATTACCTAGTAATTTACAAGTAGGGTCATTTTTAAAATCGGGAACATAGAGATTTTGAATATTATTTTGTTGAAGACATGATAATAGAGCCTTGAAGTAACTTTCGGAATCCCATGGGTCAAAATGGTTCGGTCTTGTGGGGCAAAGGAATAGATTTTGATTTTCATTTGAGATTAGAAGGTCAACGTCGTATAGGGATTTCGTTTTCTCTAGGTAAGGTTCTACTTGAGAGCAAGAATGTATGGCTTCATTGAAGATGTGGTTTTGATCAGAGTTGTGGCATGAAATGGGAATAAATATATTTTTGTGTTTTTTATCTAAGATATTGTCGGGAGATATTTTTAATTTTGGGCTATCAAAGGATCGTTCTTGGGAAATAAAATGTTCGTAGTTCATTTGTAAATAGTCATTAGGGCTAGCTTGGTTTGAGTTATCTGAAGTCAAGTCAATAACATTAGAATTATAGATAGGGGGACGTGATAGTGCGTCTGCGTTTGTGTTTATCTTTCCGGCTTTGTAGACAATTTCGTAGTTGTATTCTTCTAATTTTAACCTCCATCGTACGAGTCGACTGCCTGGGTCTTTAATTGAGAACAGCCATGTAAGAGGTTTATGATCGGTAACGATTTTAAACTTTCGCCCGAATAGATAGGGACGGAAGTGTTTCACGGCCCACACGATCGCTAGAAGTTCGCGTTCGATTGTGGAATAGTTGGATTCTGCTTTATTTAAAGTGCGAGATGCGTATGCTATTGGCAAGTCTTTACCAACTTCTCCCTGAGATAGAATAGCACCGATAGCGTGAATTGAAGCATCTGTTGTTAGGACAAATTCCTTACTGAAGTCGGGATATTGCAAGATAGGGGTTGTAGTAAGAATAGATTTACAAGTATCGAAAGCATGTTGTTGAGATTCACCCCATATGAATGGGACGTCTTTCTTTAGAAGGCTTGTCATAGGCTTTGTGATTTGGCTGAAGTTAGCTATAAAGCGACGGTAGTAACCCGCGAGACCTAGAAATGATTTAATGTCTTTACATGATTTAGGAACTGGAAAGTCTTTTACTGCTTGAACTTTGTCTGGATTTGGTTTGACACCTTCGTTAGATATTATGTGTCCTAAGTAGGCAACTTCCTTCCTAAGGAACTCACATTTATCTGGTTGGACTTTTAAGCCGTGTTTCCTGAGTCGATCGAAAACTTCGATTAGTTTTTGTTCGTGTTCTTGGAGACTGGAAGCGAATACTACAATGTCATCTAGGTAAACGAAACATCTTTCACCTTGAAGTCCATAGAGTACGCTATCCATAGCACGTTGGAAAGTCGCAGGTGCATTTTTTAATCCGAATGGCATTCGCAAAAATTCATAATGTCCGTAAGGTGTATTGAATGCTGTTTTAGGGATATCTTTTGAATCAAGTTCGATTTGATGAAATCCGGAGGCAAGATCTAGTGTAGTGAAATAGACTGAGTGTCCTAATTTATCGAGTATATCTGTGATGTTAGGCAAAGGATAGCTATCACCTACCGTTATGTCGTTTAATTTGCGGTAGTCTATTACGACTCTCCACTTCTGTTTTCCAGAAGCGTCTGTTTTCTTGGGAACTACCCAGATGGGGCTGCTCCATGGTGATGTACTTGGACGTATAATATTTTCATTTAACATTTTATCTACTTGGGACTTTACTTCTTGCTGATGTACATAAGGAAATCGATATGTTTTTGTGTTAATAGGTGTTTCTGATGTGGTAGGGATAGTGTGTTTTGTGTGATTTGTGAATGTTAGTTTGTCACCTTCGGTGTAGAAGATATCTGCGTAATTGTATACTATTTTATTAAGGGATTCGCATTCTTCATGATTTAAATGATCGCGTCTTATCAATTTATCTATCTTTTCGTAATACGACGTGTTTCGATGGATTGAATTATTAGAATTTATGGAGTTGATTTGAAAACTATCTTTTGATTCGTTATAAGGCCTTACATTAGAAATATTCGGGGTATAAATATATTTATCTTCATCACTGGAATTAACACATGTTATCAAAAATTTATTGTTGTTAATGTTAATGAGCGCGTTGGGAATAGTAAGATCTTCGCCTATTGATTGTTTGTCAATAATGGCGGGTCCATTAAGAGTCACGTCGCTGTAACAGATAATGACGGTTTCGGATCGTTTTTTGGAATAAGTTGTTTGTCGTCGGTTCGATTATCGGGTTCTTCACCCAAAAAGAAGAGTTTGTAAGAAGTATCGCGGACTCGCATAGTTTTTGATTGGACATAAATGTTAACGTTAAATTTTGACATGAAATCGTTACCTAGAATACCGTCTGCAGCAATATTTAAATCGGCAATATGGAATTTGTGTTTAGGAAATCGGTCGAGAGATATTTCAGATGTGCCGTAAGTTTGAATAGTAGATTCGGCATTGGAGACACCTATTATAGATACCTTCTTTCCAGAGTCGATTGAATGGTTACCAATTTTGTCTTTTCGAATAACAGAGATCGCGGCACCAGTATCAACTAACAATACGAGTGGTTGACCATCGACGTGGAATTTGCAATGTAATAAGTTTTCAGGAGGAATGTTTAGTGATTTGATATTGTAAGATTCAGTGACTGGCTTGTGTTCGGATTTAGAATTTTTTTTTTCGTTGCGTTTTTGATTTAAGTTTCGATTTAGTATGCGAGTTGGATTTGGAAAACTTTGTAGAGGTAGTAAGTTTAGGAGATTGAATGGATTTGGTAACATTATTTGGCTTAGTGATTGTAGTAGAGTTGGAAGATTCAGTAGAGGCATTCATTTCAATTGAGTCAGTGGATTTAGTAGAGTTAGTGGATTCAGAGTATTTGATAATTTGATTTGAGTCAATGGATTTAGTAGAGTTAGTAGATTCAGAGGATTTGGTAATTTGATTTGAGTCAATGGATTTAGTTAAGTTAGAGGATTCAGTGGATTTAGTAGAGTTAGTAGATTTAGATGATTTTGTGGGGAAACCGAGAGTTTGGGGCTGGCTACCCTGTTCGTGGGTTTCATTTAAACTAATTGTTTGGGTGTGTCCTTCGGTTTGAACGTATACGTCTCTAAATTGTCTCCGATAGACTGGTTTGTTATTTAGAGATGTATTTTGCCCTGACATGTTAATTCGGCGGTGTTCTAGATTTGGAGGTCGTTGAGATCTTTGATTAATGTGGGAGTCTCTGGGCAAGTAGCGATTCCCGACGAGTTGCCCATCTCGTTGGTCGCCCAGCAGTTTAAATTACTGATATTCGCTGGTGCTGGAAGAGCGATTTGATTTTGAGTTTTAAAATTGTTGTTATATGCTCTTTTGCGACATTCAGTAATTACGTGCCCCGGTTTTTTACAATAATTGCAAATTTTAATATACTGTTGCGCCGATTTAGGATTATTACTTGTCATTGTTGGTCTATGTTGTGAATATGTTATGGGATGTTGATTTTGAAAATTTGTGCGGAACGGAGGTTTGCTTGGTATATACGAGGAATGCGAGGTAGTCAACTTAAATAGTGATTGGCGAGCGTTGTTCATGGCTCTAATTCTTTCTTCTTGCATAGCAAAACTACCTGACTCTGCAAGATTATTGAAGCCCTTATTTCTCAGCATAGTACCTATGTCTGAGCTTAGTCCGTTAATAAAAACATTTAACGCCGTTTCTTCTGTGGTAGCAAGACGCCCTGTTAATGTGTTGTCAAGAATTTCTGTATTTAGCTTTTCTATAATCTTGCTACGACAAAGTTCTACTCGGTGGTAATATTCGGTTATTGATTCGTTGGGCTTTTGAAACATTGACTGTAGTTCGAGGTTAAGGTGAGCTAGAGTTTTTGTTTGCGAAAATTTTTGAATCAAAAATATTTTTAAATCTGTCCAATTCGTAAAATGTTTAGCATGAACGTCTGCAGAATAGGGACCTATTATTTTATTTAAAGCGTATACTAAAATGATTTGCTGTTGGGTGATACTTGCTAAATTGAATGCGGCGTCACACGAACGTATGTATCGATATATTTCGTTATTTGCTGTAGTGTCGAAGTCCGGAATGAGTTGTAAAAGAGTAGCGATAGGCATTTCTACCTTTTTAAAGTCTGAAGAGATATCAGATTTTGACATTTTGAATGATAAAATAAAAAAAAAATATTCTAAAATACGTGAGAAAAAATAAAAATATGCGAAAAATAGGATGGAAAATAGGAGAGAATTTGATATAGGATTATGATAACAGAGCAAAGTCTAACCACTTACCACAACAATAAAATACAGATCGTCCTTCTCATGGTGCAGGTTCGGCAAAGCTGATCAAAAGCCTTCGGCTACCGCGTTTCTTCACTCGGCGATGTTTGTCCTTCGAAGTTTACACGTTCACTTTGTCTTTATGCACTACGTACACGATCCTACCGACTGCGCCAAATTTGTTATGTGGTCAGTGATAGAATGATTTTAAAAAATAATTTATTTAATATTGTTCACACATAAACTAATTTATAATTTTTAGTACTATAAAATAACACTTGAAATAGAATTAACAATAACACGAAATAGAAATTGATATAGAAATAGTAAATGACACAGAGATATAATAATTACTTGAGGTTGAATTGGTAACTCCACGAGATTGAAATGGTAACTGACTTATGATCTAATACAAAGTGGTTTATATACGAAAAGTAACATGAGATTTGTAAACAATATTCTAAACTAAGTGACTTATTGACTAATTGCTTAATTACTAGATAAATAGCAAAGTACACGGGAAATGGTAACAAAGGAAATAGTATTGAAGTGGTAAACAGATCATTAGTCAATTAGGATAACAAAAGATTTGGTAGTGACTTGGTACATTGATATAGTAAATATGCATTTGGAAAATAACAGTAATTTGTGAATGTGAGAATGGTAAATACATTAGAATCAGATAAACAATAAACATTGGTTTATATAGTAACTTAATATAGAGTTATGATTATGTATAGGAAACTATATAAAAGGATTTTATATAAAGTTAGGTATAAGTGGGCATTATATAACACCTCCCCTCTTAGAATAAAGATTGGGCGTTAGCGTCCGATCTTTGGGTAACGTTTGAGGTGTCGTCTTCGTCTTCGGAGATGCACGATGTTGAAGCTGGAGCTGGGGGACCACCCATTGTGATCATCGGGATGGGCGTGGACATGTGTAGCTCGTCGTCGCGATGATGAACCAAGGCAGTTGTTGAAGATTTGAATGCAATGATTTTCTTCGTGACCGTGTCGTTGATGACGTCGGAGACATTTTTTGAATAGTGCGTATAGAATTAGTAGAACCATAGAGGTTCCGGTTATAAGAGAGAACCAGGAAAATCCATTTTTTGGTTTCGTTCTATGAATGGTTTCTTCTTGAGTTTTTGAATTTCTTCGTTGTGGTTGTTCAATTGGTTTTTGATGCTGTTTAAAGAGTCCAGAGGGACCTCATTGATAGAAATGGGTAATAAGTTTGGTATTGGAATATTTTTATTTTCTTCAAAGCAGTCTTGAATATTCATTTCGGGAATAATGATTGGAGAAGTGACGTTTTCTTTTTTGGTTCTATGTGCTGATAAGGTACTGTATCCAGTATGGAGTTTGCAGTTTTCTTTTAATGTAATTATCCCGGATCCTTGGATTTTGTGATGGGATACTTCGTTGTCACATTGTAGAATGCATGGCGTTGAGTTGGTAAGAATGTAAAGCCATCTGTTTTCGTCTAGCGACTGGAACGTATTAATTTGTGCGGCAAATGTGGAAGTTGTACAAGTACTCGGAATTGTTTTGGAGATGGTAAATAGTATCTGGAGTTCGCATATCGGACGTGTATCGGCGTCGTAAATGATGAGGTCGTTGCAAACGCTCTTTTTCTCGGCGAAGGCTTTGCAATGGTCCAATGAACTCGTCGAAATGTATAACTCACCGCTGGGGTTCGTAGCTAGAAACTTGTGCTCTGGCAGGATTGTTGTATATAGAGAGGAATTAGGATGCTGGATAGGAATTGAATAAATATGATAGAGTTTTAAGGGTTCGGATTTTACAAGTGGGAAATCTAATATATAAATTAATCTGTCAGAATATACATAAGCGGATAGTTGGGACGAATCTAATATGTTATTAATGTTATTAATGGTAATAGGGAGGACTAATTGTTTATTTGATCTAGCATGATTAGATAAAAGAAGTTCTTGGTATAACTTATTAAGAGAAATAATAGAAGGGTGTATTATATTAGCTTTGGCAAATAGAATGCTAGTAAGGACATCATTGATTTCATATTCTAGGTTTGTAATAGTCTCAAGAATTTGTATAGAGATAGAAGAAATGTCTTCGCTTGCTTTGACATCGAATATAAGTTTGTTTGATTTATTTAAATAATTATTTAGTCTATCGATATTTTCGTTAATAATTTGCTCATCGAATCTAATTTTATGGATCGTTTCATTGAAAGTTTTTATTGTTGATGAAGTTATTTGTACTTGTTTTTGCATTAAAGATGTAAGATCTAATTCGCGTTTTTCAAATAAATCGATACATTCGTCATAGTGTTTCGCATCTTTTGCATCCGGAGTACCTATGAGATATTTTAATAATGAACCAAGACCGTCTAACAGTTCCCTTTTCTGTCTAGAGTTCTTACCGAGATACATGTTTAATTCGGATATTGGTAATCGGTTATCAATTTTTTCTAGATTTATTTTTAAATACGATTTTGTAGAGAAGACATTTGGAAGCGACGCGTGTTTTGAAGTAAGTTGTTGAAAGCTACTTGATAGACGTAGAAGAGATTCTTGTGCCAGAAATAGAGGTTTTAGGTCACGATATATGATAAGTTTCCACGATTCATCGGAAATTGAGATTGTTCCTTCTTCTTTATAGAAAAGACTGGCGTGAGGTGGTAATTTTTCAGCGAATTGATTTATACTGGCAACGATTCCCGTTGTTGCACTGAAATAGGAGAAGGTTCTATGTTAGGACTTTGTATTTTATTTTTAATTCTTAAATAATTTCTAATATATGTGTATAACTTGTATATGATAATGTATAAGATAAGTTTTAAAATTGACATTATTATGAAACTAATATAAGGGTTATTTAAATAAAATATATTGAATAGGATTTCTAAGGAACTAGGGGTATGGGTTGCTGTAGAGCAGCTGACCCTGTAAATGTAATTATTTCTAAATTAACTAAATATTTAATATGGGTGTAAAGGTTGCGTATTAAACTAGTGTTTCATGCATATGGTATGGTCGGAGTCGATTTGCATGCACGAGTTGATTGCGATTTGATTTTTGAATAACGTAATTATGATTAAAACCGACACGTATGACTTCAAAAGGTCCATCCCATTTTGGGTCTAAATTATTTGGATTTGGAACTTGCAGCATTACTTTGCTTCCTACTTTATACTGAATTAAATTCTTTATTTGACTGTCGTATCTCTCCTTAGCTTTTTCTTTCATGGTTTGAATATTTCTTAAAGCAGAGTCTCTAGCAACTCTAAGACGTTCGTTTAGATCTTTAAGATAATCACAAGCTGTATAATCAGGTATGTTTTTCATAGAGTAAAATGGACGTGGTTTGTAACCGAACAATAATTCATGGGGTGTATAATAAGTGGAACTGTTTACTGATGTATTGTGACACATAATTGCAAAAGGAATTATCTTATCCCAATTTTTGAGACGGCGGCTATGATACATGCGAATATGGTCACGTAAAGTAGCATGAAATCTTTCAAGGGCACCATTCGTTTGGGGATGATATGCCGTGTTAAAAGTATGGTTGGAGCCTAGGAATTTGGTTAATTGTTTGAGAACATTATTAGTGAATTCGGTACCTTGATCTGAATGAAATCTCTTAGGTACACCGAAATGTTGGCAAAAGTGAAGTAGTTCTTTAGCTACAGAGGTGGCTTCTTTATCAGGAATTGGATATGCTTGAACAAATCGAGTTAAGTCATCTTGAAGAGTTAGGACATACTTATTATTGTTATCACTTATATCAGAATAGGAGACGAGATCCATTGAAACTCGTTCGAAAGGCTCTGTGGATTGTGATGTTATAACCATAGGTGCTTGGAAGTTTTTCCTTTGAATTTTGTTTCGCTGGCAAGTGACGCATGATTCAATATAATTTTTTATATCGCTGGTCATGCCTTTCCAAAAATATTCATCACGGATTTTTCTAGTTGTTTCTATAATACCACGATGACCTGAGAGGGGTTCATCATGATAAGTTTTTAATATGTTAGGGATTTCTTCGGGCTTAGGATACTTTACGTTATTTTGACAAATTGTGATTTCGCAGTTATACGAATCTGCCAGGTATGCAGTTATTCGTAGTTGTTCATTACCTAGTAATTTACAAGTAGGGTCATTTTTAAAATCGGGAACATAGAGATTTTGAATATTATTTTGTTGAAGACATGATAATAGAGCCTTGAAGTAACTTTCGGAATCCCATGGGTCAAAATGGTTCGGTCTTGTGGGGCAAAGGTTATAGATTTTGATTTTCATTTGAGATTAGAAGGTCAACGTCGTATAGGGATTTCGTTTTCTCTAGGTAAGGTTCTACTTGAGAGCAAGAATGTATGGCTTCATTGAAGATGTGGTTTTGATCAGAGTTGTGGCATGAAATGGGAATAAATATATTTTTGTGTTTTTTATCTAAGATATTGTCGGGAGATATTTTTAATTTTGGGCTATCAAAGGATCGTTCTTGGGAAATAAAATGTTCGTAGTTCATTTGTAAATAGTCATTAGGGCTAGCTTGGTTTGAGTTATCTGAAGTCAAGTCAATAACATTAGAATTATAGATAGGGGGACGTGATAGTGCGTCTGCGTTTGTGTTTATCTTTCCGGCTTTGTAGACAATTTCGTAGTTGTATTCTTCTAATTTTAACCTCCATCGTACGAGTCGACTGCCTGGGTCTTTAATTGAGAACAGCCATGTAAGAGGTTTATGATCGGTAACGATTTTAAACTTTCGCCCGAATAGATAGGGACGGAAGTGTTTCACGGCCCACACGATCGCTAGAAGTTCGCGTTCGATTGTGGAATAGTTGGATTCTGCTTTATTTAAAGTGCGAGATGCGTATGCTATTGGCAAGTCTTTACCAACTTCTCCCTGAGATAGAATAGCACCGATAGCGTGAATTGAAGCATCTGTTGTTAGGACAAATTCCTTACTGAAGTCGGGATATTGCAAGATAGGGGTTGTAGTAAGAATAGATTTACAAGTATCGAAAGCATGTTGTTGAGATTCACCCCATATGAATGGGACGTCTTTCTTTAGAAGGCTTGTCATAGGCTTTGTGATTTGGCTGAAGTTAGCTATAAAGCGACGGTAGTAACCCGCGAGACCTAGAAATGATTTAATGTCTTTACATGATTTAGGAACTGGAAAGTCTTTTACTGCTTGAACTTTGTCTGGATTTGGTTTGACACCTTCGTTAGATATTATGTGTCCTAAGTAGGCAACTTCCTTCCTAAGGAACTCACATTTATCTGGTTGGACTTTTAAGCCGTGTTTCCTGAGTCGATCGAAAACTTCGATTAGTTTTTGTTCGTGTTCTTGGAGACTGGAAGCGAATACTACAATGTCATCTAGGTAAACGAAACATCTTTCACCTTGAAGTCCATAGAGTACGCTATCCATAGCACGTTGGAAAGTCGCAGGTGCATTTTTTAATCCGAATGGCATTCGCAAAAATTCATAATGTCCGTAAGGTGTATTGAATGCTGTTTTAGGGATATCTTTTGAATCAAGTTCGATTTGATGAAATCCGGAGGCAAGATCTAGTGTAGTGAAATAGACTGAGTGTCCTAATTTATCGAGTATATCTGTGATGTTAGGCAAAGGATAGCTATCACCTACCGTTATGTCGTTTAATTTGCGGTAGTCTATTACGACTCTCCACTTCTGTTTTCCAGAAGCGTCTGTTTCTTGGGAACTACCCAGATGGGGCTGCTCCATGGTGATGTACTTGGACGTATAATATTTTCATTTAACATTTTATCTACTTGGGACTTTACTTCTTGCTGATGTACATAAGGAAATCGATATGTTTTTGTGTTAATAGGTGTTTCTGATGTGGTAGGGATAGTGTGTTTTGTGTGATTTGTGAATGTTAGTTTGTCACCTTCGGTGTAGAAGATATCTGCGTAATTGTATACTATTTTATT